AACAAATTTGAAAACCTCGAGGAAATGGACAAATTTCTAGAAACTCACTACCTACCTAAACTAACACAAACAGAGGTAGAACAATTAAATAAACCCATAACAAAAGAAGAGATTGACAAGGTAATTGAAAAACTCCCAACAAAAAAAAAGCCTTTACCTGATGGCTTCACTGGAGAATTCTTCCAGACTTTCAGAGAGTAGTTAACACCACTACTACTAAAGGTATTTCAGAGCGTAGAAAAGGATGGAATACTCCCAAACTCATTCTATGAAGCCAGCATAACTCTGATACCAAAATCAGGTAAAGATACCACAAAAAAAGAAAATCACAGACCAATATCCCTCATGAACATTGACGCAAAAATCCTCAACAAAATTCTAGCCAATAGAATTCAACAACATATCAAAAAAATAATTCACCATGATCAAGTGGGATTTATACCAGGTATTCAGGGATGCTTCAACATTAGAAAAACAATCAATGTAATCCATCACATAGATAAACGACAATAACCACATGATCTTATCAATTGATGCAGAAAAGGCATTTGACAAAGTCCAACCCCCATTCATGATAAAAACTCAACAAAATAGTAATAGAAGGGAAATTCCTCAGTATAATTAAGGGCATTTATACAAAGCCAACAGCCAACATCATCCTAAATGGAGAGACCTTGAAAACATTCTGCTAGAGAATGGGAACCAGACAAAGATGCCCTGTATCGCCACTCTTATTCAACATTGTGCTGGAGGTCCTAGCCAGAGTAATTAGGCTAGAAAAGGAAATAAAGGACATCCAAATTGGTAGGGAAGAAGTAAAAGTATCTCTATTTGCAGATGATATGATCTTATACACAGAAAACCCCAAAGAACCCACAAGAAAACTGCTGGAAGTAATAGAAGATTTCAGCAAATTTTCAGGATACGAGATCAGCATACAAAAATCGGTTGGATTCCTTTACACCAACAAAGAGAAGCTCAAAGAGGAAACCACCAAATCAATACTGTTTAGAATAGCACACAAGAAGATAAAATAGTTAGGAATAAATCTAACCAGAGATGTAAAAGACCTATAGAATGAAAACTACAAGACACTACTTGCAAGAAACCAAAAGAGACCTGCGTAAGTGGAAAAACATACCTTGCTCATGAGTAGGTAGACTCAACATTGTGAAAATGTCAGTTCTACCCAAACTGATCTACAGATACAATGCAATCCCGATCCAAATTCCAACGACATTTTTTAACGAGATGGAGAAACAAATCACCAACTTCATATGGAAAGAGAAGAGGCCCCGAATAAGTAAAGCATTACTCAAGAAGAACAAAGTGGGAGACCTCACACTACCTGATTTTAGAACCTATTATACCGCCAAGGTAGTCAAAACAGCCTGGTACTGGTACAACAACAGATACATAGACCAGTGGAACAGAATTGAGAATCCAGACATAAATTCATCCACCTATGAGCAGCTGATATTTGACAAAGGCCCAAAGTCTGTTAATTTGGGAAAAGACAGTTT